TCTCCCAAAAGACAGATCCAATTACATGAAATGTCAGAAGACTCCCAAATATATCTGCAAAATATATGTATACAGTTTTACTCATGTTCATGTAGGCCATGAGTTCTACTGCAAGGATATTTAAAAATATAAATGTGATTAATGCTTTTCCTAAGGTCTAGTATCTTTACTTAATGATCAATGACAAGAGACAGAGATAAAATATCAGGATTTGAACAAAGTATTGCCTTCAGGAAGTTACTCATCACTAGATAAATAAAAATAATCCCTTATATTTGCATAAATGTATTTACATAATGAATATGAAATATACTTTTCTATTTCTTACCTCACTTTACTTTCAAAAACCCTCTGTGAGGCAGGTAGAACAGATATTTTCTGTCATGTTCCATCGGTAATAATTACTAAGCACCTGTGTACTAGTTACAGCTATATTAGGGACTAAGGATCCAAAAATGAGGAGAGTGTGTCTTACTTACTGAGGGCTCTAGATGCCACATGCTCTCAGTGTCAGCTAACTGTTATAATAGAGCTAAGCATACGTAAAATAGTGATCTGGAGAATTCCAGGAAGGCTTCAAGGAGAAGCAACCTTTGAGTCGTACATTAAAGCATGGCAAGAATGGGTCAGACAGTCAAGGGGGGGACAGGCAGACTAAATGTGCAACTGCACAGAAGCATGAAACAACATGATGTATTTGCAAAACTGAAAGAAAACTGTGTATGGCTAAAGCAGAGGTTGCACATGGGATATGAGATGAAATACAGAGGGAGCAGGGGGTCAGAGCTCCGAGGGAGAGAGTATATTAAAGTGATTAAAAGTACAGGACCTAAAATCAGACCTGGATTCAAATCCTGACTCCACCATTTATCAATTGTTATTTTGGGCAAGGTCCTACCCTTTCAAAGGTGCAGTTTGCTCCTCTGTAAAATGGAAATAGGAATATCTATCCTATCCTAGTTATTTGAGGATTAAAAGAAATAACTGCATGCAAAATGCTTAGCAAACTGCCTAACAGATGAAACATATGACTTAAGAAGTAGTGAATTACCATGCCATGAAAAGAAGTTTGGAATTTATCTCGTAGACAGTAGGAGTCAGAAAAGATTTTTTAAGTGGAGAACAATTAAGATTAGGTACGCATTAGAAAATCCACTCTAGTAGCATAATAAGGAAAACATGGACTGAAATGGAGGAGGGCAAGGCTGGAAGCAGGAAGAATAGGAGACCTCTGAAAACATACAAGGAAGGAGAAAAATGAGGATCTGAACAAAAGGCTCTGGAAGTAGAGATGGAGAAGGGGCACTGCTGAGTTTTTTAAAAGGGGGCAAAGGTACAATTTAGTGAAGGAAAAGGGAAGTCAAAGTCTTCCAGGTTTCTGATATGAATGACAAGTACACTGGGGGTGACATCAACCAGAATTAGAAATATCAGAAGAGGGAATGGTTTT